CCCCCCCCCCCCCCCCCCCCCCCCCCCCCCCCCCCCACCCCCCCCCCCCCCCCCCCCCCCCCCCCCCCCCCCCCCCCCCCCCCCCCCCCCCCCCCCCCCCCCCCCCCCCCCTCCCCCCCCCCCCCCCCCCCCCCCCCCCCCCCCCCCCCCCACCCCCCCCCCCCCCCCCCCCCCCCCCCCCCCCCCCCCCCCCCCCCCCCCCCCCCCCCCCCCCCCCCCCCCCCCCCCCCCCCCCCCCCCCCCCCCCCCCCCCCCCCCCCCCCCCCCCCCCCCCCCCCCCCCCCCCCCCCCCCCCCCCCCCCCCCCCCCCCCCCCCCCCCCCCCCCCCCCCCCCCCCCCCCCCCCCCCCCCCCCCCCCCCCCCCCCCCCCCCCCCCCCCCCCCCCCCCCCCCCCCCCCCCCGCCCCCCCCCCCCCCCCCCCCCCCCCCCCCCCCCCCCCCCCCCCCCCCCCCCCCCCCCCCCCCCCCCCCCCCCCCCCCCCCTCCCCCCCCCCCCCCCCCCCCTCCCCCCCCCCCCCCCCCCCCCCCCCCCCCCCCCCCCCCCACCCCCCCCCCCCCCCCCCCCCCCCCCCCCCCCCCCCCCCCCCAACCCCCCCCCCCCCCCCCCCCCCCCCCCCCCACCCCCCCCCCCCCACCCCCCCCCCCCCCCCCCCCCCCCCCCCCCCCCCCCCCCCCCCCCCCCCCCCCCCCCCCCCCCCCCCCCCCCCCCCTCCCCCCCCCCCCCCCCCCCCCCCCCCCCCCCCCCCCCCCCCCCCCCCCCCCCCCCCCCCCCCCCCCCCCCCCCCCCCCCCCCTCTCTCCCCCCCCCACCCCCCCCCCCCCCCACCCCCCCCCCCCCCCCCCCCCCCCCCCCCCCCCCCCCCCCCCCCCCCCCCCACCCCCCCCCCGCCCCCCCCCCACCCCCCCCCCCCCCCCCCCCCCCCCCCCCCCCCCCCCCCCCCCCTTTCAAGAAAAGAAAACATGAGAGCTGTGTTTAATTTGCTTACTTGCATGATTTGTGAATATGTCAACAAGTGTAAATTGCTTTTGTGGGCCAGTATTGATGGGTCTTGTTTCGTCTATGTTCTTTAGAAGTTGTACAGCCAATTTATCCTTCAGTTTCTGAATATATAGGCCCATGTTTTTAAGTGTCAAAAGGGGAAATGGCTGGATGCTGGTGGCTCACACCTGTAATCTAGCTACTCAGGAGGCAGGGATCAGGAGGATCACAGTTTGACACAAGCCCAGGCAAATAGTTCACGAGACCTATCTCAAAAATACCTAACACAAAAAGGGCTGGTGGAGTGGCTCAAGATGTAGGCCCCAAGTTCAAGCCCAGTACTGCAAAAGAAAAAAAAGGGAGAAAATGTCTGTATATCAAATAATGATCTAAAGCAGTATGATAGTTTAATCAAAGCAGTTTTTATAAAGCAAAGAAATGGTTTATCCAAAGAAATAGATATAATATCAAAAGAATGCTTTCTAAAACAGCAATATTAGGAAAAGGAGATAAACTCCTAATATCCAAGAAAGTCATTTTATATGAGAATGGTGTCTAATGAAAACTTGTAAGCAATTGATTAATAAGGAAACATATAAATGTATAAGTATAGCAAGAAACTCAACTCTTAGGGATCATGTATGCATATTAATTTGTTGATGAATACTAGCAACAAATAAATAGAAATTAAAATCCTATTAAATATTAGGTGATAATAAATTTTGTCTTATAAAACACCATAGGCATATGAGGAGAGTAGTAGTATAATTGATATGAATATTATTCATTTTTTTACTTCTATGTTGAATTATCTACTGGCTCAAGATTATATACCAAAGGGAAGTAGTATACAAATTTGTCTTAGGTGTAAAAATGATACCTATTGAAACTGTTCCAGGATCAGGGAAGGGGTATGAAAGAGAGCAGCAAAGGGGTGAATTCGAAGTATGATATATTTGATACACTGTAAGAACTTTTGTAAATACTCCAATGAACCCCCACCCAGCACAACAACAACAACAATAATAATATAAAGTAATCAAAGATAAAAAAATCTTCAAAGAAAACACAATGAAAAGCAGCCACTGATTGAAACCAAACTTTGGTCTCAGAGCTCTACATTCTACTTGCTGTTACCCTCTTGAGTCTGCAGCCCCATAACCTAACATCAGATTTTTACCCCCACTTCCACTCCTGTACATTAAATTCTTTTCCTATGATGTCTTTGGTTTGATAAAATAAAGCTCTCCAACCACCCCTAGAATCCCAGGAAGGGAGCAATTTGATTTAATCTGGAACCTCTGCTAACAGAGATATTTGAGTATTAATTATCAATCAGTAATTATATTACTATTTGGCAACAAAAAAAGAAAAGAGCTGAACAAACAGGCATCGCAGTATAATTTAGGTATCTTGGTAAAAAAATTCCACTGACCTCGAATGAATAAATGGTGTAAAATGATAGAAAATGTTTCACAGAAAATGAAGGAAATGTAACAGTGCCTGTTACAAGAGGCCAAAGG